TGTACGGGAAGTGCACTTTTTTCTCATCTATGTTGCTGATGTAATAGCCTCCTGGCTACCCAAAGAGCAAGGCAGAGACCCCCAAGGGGGAATAAGAAATCTTCCTTTCAAGAGGAAGCCAACCCAGCAGAGCTCCCTGCATACAGTTGCAGTCATGTGTCTCTGGATGCTAATGTGACAAGCAAGTGTTCACTGAAGTAGGACAATAAAGACACAGTACTGTGCCTTTTTTGTTAGTCAGCCCATTCAGCAAAGATGTTGCTATTCAGCTGGATTATTAACACCAACTTGCACTTACAGGTTCACTGTGGCAAGCCACAGAAGTCAGAACGGTTCTCTTTAAGACACGGTCACTGGTGATGTTTCTTCTACTTGTTTGTCTGTTATTTCAGTGACGCCTGCAGGTCAGTTACAGCTGGTTCAAACCCTCGTTGCTACTGTGTGCTGAGTACCCCAAGAACGACACCGGTGTGTCTTGTTGATGCACATGACCAGGGGGACCGAATGATTCAAGTAAAGATGGGAGGTTTTTAATTGTCACCTGTTCAGTAAAATGAAACTCACAGTAGTAAGTCCTGTCACTTGGGTGTTTGCATAAATTAATATCTGAGCATGAGGTGATCCTGAAGATCTGAGTCTAAAAGATAGGTTTGTGAATGTCTTGATTTCTGTTGGCTGAGAAAGAACCCTGTAGCCATTTTCTTCTTCTTTTGTTTTCATTAAATATTGCATTATTCCTGAGTTTTGAGAAAGCAGTATTACTACTTCCATGCTGCACACTGTATTAAACAGGTCTCTCATCTGTCTCATCACTGAATGAAACAAGCCTGGTCTTCTCAGTTACTTATGCAGAACTTCTCCATTTCATCAGAAGTGCCCTGGACCAAATCAAGGTCCTGTCAAATGTGAAGTTTGTCACGGACAGGAAGGAGATACAGCTTCCAAGTCTGCTGACTTGGACTGCTTGGTCTGCTTGGTCTGCTTGACCTGTTGCCATGCCTCTAATGTACTGTTTATAAACAGAAAAGGCAGATAGCTCAAAAGACTTGTTAATGCAACTCCTACAAACTTTGTTCCTTCTATGGATTTTGCCTGACAGTTATAAAATTCTTTTTATGCAGGTTTTTTTACATAATTAAATGCTTTACTGTATAATACTACTCAAGTGGGAGCTGTGGCAATAAAAGGTTTATGATGCCAAAGGGTTTTCACAGTGCTGATGCAGCCAGCTCCAAAAGGCTGTGGAAATAGAGACTCCTCCATAGTGCAATTCAGTTCAGCCTCTCTGTATGCTGCAGGCACTACATACAACATTAGCTTATAAATATTTGAGAAGGCCAGGTTGGATGGAGAAATATGTTAGTTCCTTCAGCAGCCAGATGTGTTGTCCAGAAGCATAAGCGATTAGCAAATGCTGTTCAGCTACTGGCAGACAAATTCCTTCCAACACCTAGGGAGCATTACACTGAGAGAATCCCAGCCTTCCATGATAAGTGTTTGCCTTGTCCTTGGCAAAAATGAAAACAGTAAAATAACGAGCCAAAAGCTCTTCGGGGAACTGCCTGTCGTCCCTCCAATCCCAACCAAGGAGTCTTTCAGCTAGCTTTGAAATGAGTAGTATAAGCAGACTATCACAAGGACTAAGATGCTACTTTTTAATACTTGACTGCTCATCGCTCTTGTCTGCTCCAAATGAAATATTAAACCAAATAGCTTAAATCATCATGCGAATGGGACCAGGCTGTAGAGGTGGTGTTCTGCATTTTAATTCTCAAGAGTGGTGGGAGATGACTTGAGAATATAAATCCATTCAGTTGCGACAGCTTGGCTGATAAGCACTAACTCATTAACTGATGATAACTTGCCTACTTACAGTCTCGTATCCCTTCCCTCCCAACAATTTTACAAGTATTAACTTTATTGCCTTGTCCTCAATGGTGATGGAACCCAAAATCTTCCTGTAAGATCACAAAGATGGGTTTTCTTAGGTAATAAGCTGAGAAACTAGGTCAGGTGTAACAAGAGATTTCAATCTATCAGTGCCACCTTAGTTACGGTGGGGTATGGCATTGCATCCCTCTTCCTTTCCCTCCAATACCTGACTTTGTACTTGAAGATTGTTAACCAGCTGCTGTTCATCTGTTTGGGGACTACAGTTCAGGGATGAAGGAACTATGCCCAGATAGTGTTCATCCAACATACAAGTCTAGCAACTCAATCCTGCAGCACAGCTAAGAACAATTTTTTACAGGAGATGCTCTAACCTAGTAGTTTGGCTTGTAAGATTTACAGATGTGTCCGAGTAGTCTATGTAGAGGTATCTTCATAGATCTGGAGTGGAAAATGCTGCCACAGTTTCCAGGAAAGGAAGACTGAATCTAATAAATGTGAGCGGTTAGAGTTGGTCTCTTCTACTTTGACAGTTGCATAGTTTCAAAAATCAACAATGTCTTGGTGCATCTCACTGAAGTTGCTCAGCTCATACTGAGAGCAGAGCTTCCTGATTTTCTTGGGAAAAATGTTTTTATTGAGAGAGGGTAAAGAAATTAAGAGCCATAGAAAAATGCAGCATGCTGTTTCCTTCAGAACCCCTCTTATATTTTCTGGACCAATCCTGAAGTCTGTCACTCTCAACTGTTCCAATTCTTAGACAGTCTGTCATATTCAGGAAATAAGCTAAGATATAAAGATATTTAGGTTTTTTCTTATTATTTGCATCCTCAGATATTCAATTTGATTAGTTTCAGCTTAATAGTATCGACATTTATGCCACAAACGTAAACAAAATCAATACTGGTTGATCTAATTGAAACATAACATCAGTGGAATGGCTGTAGCATCTATCTCCTTAGAACAGAAGTGGTAAAAACCTTTAAGACTGTTTTGTGATTAATTTTTTTAAAAAAACATAAGGAAGGTTAACAGTACATTGTTCATCACCTGATATTTTAACATTTAAGATGGCCAATGGCTGGGAGACGTTACTGACTGCAATTCAGCAGTTTCTAGATGAGATTCTCTGGGCGATAAAATACAGGAGCTAGGGTCTGGTGAGCATGAATGCCTCCCCTGCTCTCCAAACCATACAAAAAGCAGTATGTATGGAAATGAACGGTTTCTTTCAAAATACAGTCTACTGCTTAGTGTAGCCATGAGATGTCAGTAGAGACCGCTGTTTCTGTGCAATCCGGTATAAAACAGAAAAGGTCTCTCAAGTCAGAGCATCCAAATCATGATTACTGGCCACACAAACGCCCAAGTGGGATGTGACCCAGCAGTACATACAGCCACTGCTAATATGCATCCGGAGACTGAATGTGACAGTGATGTGACAGCTGAAAGGACTGGCAAAAAGGGAGGGAAAAGTTTAAGGGCCTAGTTAGGGTTAAAGCTGATGTGTAGAACATAGGAGAAAGCTATTACAGTAAAATAGCACTATAATGTTTTAGTAAAAATAAAAAGATATAACTTTTTTGTAACCTAACTAGAATGCAATCCAGTAGTTAAAGACCTGTAACCTAAACCAGGGATGGCTAAAACTCTGAGGGATGAACCTGGTCTTCAGGGTACTTTTGTCTGGCCTCAGAACATCCGACTAAATTCCTGTCAGCTTGCAATTGCTGGGCCAACACCTGTGCCCACTCAGCAAATAAACTGGAGTACTGAGGGGGAGTCTCTCTTGAGCATGGTTATACCAATTCTGGGGACAGTCTGATTCTCTAGTACAAGGCCAGAGCATTTATTCTAACCTTTTCAGTCCCGAGCTGGGTCAATTTAGTCTGTTAGTATGAAAATGTCAGTCAGGAGGCCAAGGGACATGTGTTTTTTACTGATATATCTTGGTTAACTATGAACTGCTTCACTGCAAGGAATTTACAGAATGAACCAGAGAAAAGGATAGTTGTATTCATGAAGTAGGCTCAGATTTCTTCAGATTTTGTTTTTCAAATAGTTGAAACCATTGGATTTAAGTTGCAAAACAATGCCAAACCAGTGATAAATCGGAGGCCAAGATTACCTGAGATCCCAAGGTGTCAATCAAGCTTGGGAAAATCTAAGTCTTTTGGATCTGTCTCCTGGGCCAGTTCCAGTTTTCCGTGAGGGCTTCAGTGGGCAGGCACTCCATGTCTTGCTGTGCTCACCTCAGTGGAGAACTTCTGGGCAGGTTCTGGGTCTCCCCTACTGCTCACCGACCAGGAATGGACAGAGCATGTCCTGTTTGGTCTCCAACCTGCCATCCTTTTAAATTTGGAAGAAGGACATTATGAATCACATGTGTCTGCACAGAGTCAGTCAGGTCTCCTAGCTTTGGATCACCAAGCAACAGACGTATGGAGCTACTTTAACTGCAGCTGTGTCTGAACCAACAATGTCCCCTCGGACATCAGAGGAGGGTATACAGACACATCCAAGCTGCTCTGCAGGAGCCAGCTCAGGAACAGCACAGACCCAAACTGAATCCTTGTGGTTTCATATCTACAGTATATTCACCAGCATCTCCCCTAAAAGTCTTGTCTATCTGCAGGTTTTTCACCCTCAAGGATTCCTTTGCTCTCCCCTACGCCTCTCTGCCATCCCTTGAGGATGCCTTTACATTAGTGATTCGTACTGGCAGTAGCTCTGCGCACTGCCTGCTCAGCACAGTACTGCTCTGCTCAGCGCATCTGTTTTTCTTCACTTTAAACGAGGCCAATTACCTATGAGTTTGCAGTTCACCAGAAAGTAATGGTAACAGGCAGCGTCCTCCTCTCAGTAACACGTTTCGGGGAAAATACAGCAAAGAACTGGCTATTAAATAAACATTAGTTTCAGTAAGAGGAAGAACCTGATAAGGTCACTTGTATCAAATTACATAAAGTCCTTTCTAGGATGTTTTCTCTTTCTAGCATAATCCTTCAAAACATTCAAGGCTTATTTGACAATTCCAAACCATCTTGTTTTCTTTGTATTCAGAAGGAATTTCAGAGAAATTCAGGGGTTATACAAATATTCAGGAGCAGAAGATACTCTTTATTACCATTGTGCCAGATATTGCAGAAAGACAGAATGAGAAATTCAGGAAAGCTATTGAAATGAGAACTGCTCTAATTCAGTAACAGATTCATTGGCTTTCTAATTAGGTTTGATCACTTGAGTATTTTATATTGTAGCTGCAGAAGTATCTTATAAATACCTACCACGTGACACAGGCACTTCAAAAGCATCATATAACTGTAGAACAGATCTGCAGAAAAAGTTAAATAAAAATATATATCTTAGTGCTTCCCTGTCTTGATAAATAATCCCCAGCTCTGAGATGTCATTTTATTTAATTTTACAACATTCAAAACCACTGTAAAATAACATCTGTGATAAATATTCAAAAAATAACTCAGATTATATTTTACTGTTACAGTTTACAGTAATGTCTGAGTAACATCATACAAATTGTTTTATAAATAGCTTCACCAGCACCAAACCATAGAAATATTACATTTTACATATTCACTTAAGCACATGGAATTTTGGCTACAAAGGATTTATTTCTTACTCTTGTTATAGAGCTGATTTGGTATGCTTCAACTTGGAAAATAACTCAATTACATAGTCCCAACATGAAAAAATACGTGAAAACCAATGTGGGAGCAGATGAGAATTAGCAGATTGTACTGGCTATTCACAGAAATTCTAGTGCTCAGTCTATTCAGGATTTCTAGCCTTATTTCATTCTGATAACAAGCAAGGTCTGCCAACTAAGGTCTTAGACGGGGATTCAGAAACTGGTTTCCTGTGACCTTGGGCAGATTTCTGCCTCAGTTCTCCATTCACAGCATGGTAGTAATAATGTTTCCCTCTATCTCCAAAGACTGTAAGCTCTCGGAAGCTCCCTGACACTATTTTTTGTAAAGTAATTGGTAGTGTGGGACTAAGATTAGAGCTGAGCTCAGTAAGAGTAAATGTGCAATCTTTAGCACAAGACACAATGATAAAATTGTTCTGATATTTAACAGAGGTAGGTAAATGATGCCCTTTGCACTGCTGGAGAAAGTACAAGGGACTTGCCCAACAACTCAGTGTGCCTTGCTGACACAGCTCCTGAGTCAGTCTTGAACTGTAATATGCTGAAGTCCTCCAGAAACTCATGATCTAACAGAAATGTAGTAGAGCTGTTAACACATTCACATCTTAATTCAAAGCCACAGCAGTCAGGGGAAAATTTCTTCATTAACTTCAGTGGGCACTGAAGTAATTTTTCTGTTAAACCCAGAGGAAAAACTAATAAAGAAAAACTAGATTTCTTGGCACCTAAGATGAAATTCAGGTATTCTGTCTGTTCAGTTTTACTCAGCAGTTTTCAGCACAAGTTAAACATATTCTATCACAAAGCATTTGCACAAATTTCATGAAAAGGAAGCACCATCAAAATTGCTATGCAAAAACTGTGAAATGCATCAGATACACTTTCTGCACTACAGAATTGAAATGCAACAGATAAATCTTCTGCATTACAGAACTGAAAAAGCAGCTATTAACAACCTGAAAGAGGTAAGTATGTAGCCTGAGCATCTGATAGAGTGGGGCTGGCTACAGTAGCTAGTTAAAACATCTGGAAAAGCAGCTGTATCTTTCTCTTGCACTACACTCACCACTGCACCACACTTCACCATCGTAGTCACTGCTGTCTGCCAGAGAACTAAAATCAAGTCATTCACAGTATCTATGCCCTATATCTTTTCATTTTAACACAGTACCAAAGCACATGTTTAGAAAATTAGGAAAGAAAACATGATGCCATGTCTCTCCTTAGACATTATATATAGCTGACATGAATTAGGCTTCTGGGCTTCTCTGGTTTCTCAAATCATCCCATTTTCCTGTGTTGTCACAAAGAAATAGTGTGATTGTGGTACAGGAGAGAGGATGGGACTCTTTGGGGAGACATGAGGGAAAGAAAGATCCTATAGCGAAAGTGTACACCACGGTAAAGATTAATTCACCTCACTCAGATATCCTAGCTCTGCCCTAGTGTTGGGAATTATCACTGAAGTTCTCCAAACACTCTGAAGTTCTTCCTAGTCTGGATCTTTATTTTCTACTTCACCCTGTGCAACAAAACCATAAGTATGCACTATTAACTGAGGATATTTACACCTCATAGTCTCTCCCTGGATTCAGGTGTATAGACATCATCCATCCCTACGGTGCTCCAAGGCAGCAGGAAGGTCACACTGCCTACCTCCTACCGGAGCAGCGCCGCTGGTAGAGGCTGCCAGCATGACTGGAATCCCAGGCATCCTTAGCAGGAGTCTCAGAGGAGAAACCAAAGTGGACTGTGCATACTGGCCTGCAGGGTACTCCAAGGCACTTTGCTGGAACAGCAGAAAGGAGAAAAGAAAGCAAGAAAACTGCCTTGTTCTAAACAACAAATGGAGATGTCTTATGAGATGCCAGCTGAAATTATTTGGGAAACACTAACACTGCAGTACTTTCTTCTAAAATCAGAAGGGATTCCTTACTGACAACACATGAAATGTTTTACCGATTTATCAGAATCTTTGTGTTTTATAGCTAACTATGAGGGAAAGGGTTTACGGCAGCTGAGAAGATACTCAGTCAGAGCCTTGCCACTTTTATTACCCCTACTGACCAGATGGACCAAGCAATCCCCATTTCTGGGCTCGGCAGGGTTCTGTTGTTGCAGTGATATCTGTTGATCATAACGCCTGCTCACGTCGCCGCTTCGCACCCACAGCTCTTGCTGCCAGGAGAAACACAGCCCCGGTGAGCACTTCTGTGACAAAGGAGACCCAAACTAGTGCCAGCGACCAGCCAAACCTGATGTCAACTTCTACCAGAAGATCCTTCCTCCTCAGGAGGCAGAGAGCTTCTTCGAAGGCAGCAGCTGAATATGCAATATAGACACTGATCCCAGTAAGTGTAACAAGAGCTGAGAAAGAAAAACATATTCAGCTAGTTAGCATTCACTGCAGAAATTAAAATTAATTAAATGGATATCTCTTAGGGCTTCTTTGCCACTCCTTCCTAGCTACCCAGGCCAGATTACTGGTTAGCCTCTTTACCTTTGAAATCTAGTTGAGGCTGTTTTTTGGGGAAGGCTGAGAGGGAAGTAAAGGGAGGGTTATCTCTGCCCATTGAGTTTAATGTGTTCTCACTGTTAAATACTGAATCAAAACGTAAAGCATCAAGCCTCCTACAATAAATATCTAGTCATGTCTTTTACAGATATCTAAGGCATGCACATCTGGTTTTAATGATGTATTATAACGTATATGGGTTAGTCTTTACTGTTACCTCTCACCAAGTCTGGTGGAGCCATGAGTATTTATCACTTCCAAATAATGAGGCCGAAGACATCCTTGGAGCCGATTAAAAATAAATTAATAAAGGCACTCAAACAAGAAGCCAGATGTTTTCAGAATGAAAGGACTGTAGAGAAGCTAGCAAACTTAGAGAATGGCACATCTAGCACAAGTACATGCTACATCCTGAGCCTGGCATCTATGTCACTCAAAGGACATATGCTAAAGTCATAACTTTACTGGATCAGTGGCAGGAAAGATGTGACAGAAAGGCCCTGCAGCCCAGGGAAAGTAGATACTGGAATACTTGTAGGAGAAGATAATGTCTTATCTGATTCTGAGGGAGAAAAATTTTGGTCTGGCTTTCTGTCAAATCGCAGTGTAAGTCTAGATGAGGCTTTATTTTTTCTAGAAAGACAAGTCTGAGTAGAGGCACACCAAGACAGAAGAGTACTGAGTTATCCAACAGTCAAAATTTGTACTCATATTCCTGATTTTAACAATGCTATGATGCCTGTACCTTATTCTAGTCCTCTGCAAGGGTGGGGAAAATATTTACTTTCTACCTTTTGCCAGCAGAAATGGAAATGACTATTTTGAAGACATTTTCAACAAGGTATGCCGAGTCCTATTATTCCCCTTAAATGTGGCTGCATTTCAAAAGAATGGGGAAGCATGTAGGATGTCCTGGGATGTGGAACATATCAGCTCTGTTATTTTCAAAAAACCTCAGGCTTCTGGAATTCCATCATAAAGTATTTCTTTCTGTTGAGACAGAACTATCTAATCAATACCAAACTTCACAAACTGTAATATCCTATAAAACTGTGCATGGCTGTTAGATATCTGAAACAGCTGAACAAACTTGCCTGAGGAGGAGGAGGAGGATCTGGTCTCACACCAGAGGCCACCCCGCAGTCTGTTCATGCTGTCCTGGGAAACAGCACTAGTTGCATCTTGAGAACATATTCAAGCACCCCTCTCCTAATATTGTCTTTGTGTTTCCTTTCCTTCTTTGCAACCCCAAGTGTCTTAGAAAGGCACAGTACTCTACTCCTCAGCAGGATAATCATGCTTTGCACTTCACAGCTTTTCATCTTTCACTTACTATTTGGAGTAGTTTTCAAATAGCCTGAGCCTTTTTAGTGAATACAGCTTTCTGATGTTCTAAGGAAATAGAAATTACTTTTTTTTTTTTTCAGAAGAAAAGCATAATAGGGGATGGTTGGTCTTTGTAAGAGCATTTCAGACTAAAAAGGTCATTCAAGACTTTGAGACAGCACCATTTGCTTCCAGCAATCTCTTACCATTCTCTTAGAAACAGGACTATATGGCCAGGTGATGAGGGCCAAAACTGAGCATCCCCTTTTCTGTTGGGGAGAATTTATTTCAAGTTACACTGTGAAACAGTACTGAAAATCTATTTGGAGAAGAAAATTAAAATGTATTTAAACCCAGTTTTCCTACTTTGACAGAATGCTTTTCTTTCCAATTACTTTCTAAAACACAGAGATATTGGTTACAGCAAAACCAATAGAAAACAAAATGTAAAAGAGTTTGACCAGCCTCAAATTCAAATGTTACACTCCAACTAAAATAACTCCTTGGGGTTACCTTTTGGGACCCACAGTTTGGGGACACCACTCTAGTTCAAAACTAACAATGAAGCTAACCCAGGGATGCTTAGCAAAACCCTTTTCAGGAACTCAATGCAAATGCCTTTGAAAAAATGTCAGTTTTATTAGTATTTTTAAGATCTGTGCAAGGCTATTGAACCCTATGCTTTACTAATTCCAGAGTCACTTCTCCATTATTTCATTACCCAGTCTGTAAAGAATTTGGACACTGTGCTGAGAAGGTATTAAATCTTTTCTGTTAATGGCAGAGCAAACACACTGTGTTCAAAGTGTGACTCACTCTACAAGGATGTATGGTTGTGTGTGATTATCTGTCTTTGCTGACTCTAAGTGGCAATTTTCTATTCCAGAATCCTGTCAGGATGAGCAGACACCAAGTGAATGAACAGCAGCATTATTCTGAAAGCAAACTCTTGCTTAGCTTTTTTCCCCCTGGAAGACAGCGTGATGTTTCCCAGATATAATCTCTTATTATTTAAAACAGTTAAGATGGGAGTTTGATATAGTACCTCCAAAAAGAAAAAGCAGTCCTGTCATTAGAAGCAGTAGGTAGGCCCTGGCAAGAACACTGATGAATCCAGTCATTCCTCCAAAAATCATCAATATCAGGCTGAGAGGCATCAGGATGACAAATGTTCCGTGCATGTCTGAAGAAAAATTAAGAATGTTAATATTTTATAATTTCATTATGGTGTCATTGGATGTACTAATAATTATAGTGTACAGAGCCCCTGATCAGGATCAAAACCTTATTCTGCGCTGCACAAACAAGGAGTTGGATTTTCAGGCAGGACAAATATATGGTATGGAGAAAAAGGTAACGTACAGAGAAAGCCCTTCACAGGATCGCAGCTTGTGTTTCAAACAGAGACCACAAATATCAAGGATATGTCTACCTGGATATCCTTAAGCAATTAAATTGCTCTCAGATATTAAGCCTAGCTGGATAACAGGTGATGCACTGCAAATCAGGTAGTCACTGACAACCTCAATAAAAACTAGCCCTAGTTATCTGAATCATACAGACCACAGAGAGAAGCATTGTTCTGTTTGGGTGGTGAGATCCAGCACATGCTTTGGTTAAATGTTTTCTGTCACATGTCCTCTGCTGAACTGATCTAGCAAATTGCTGACCTTTTCCTTTGTTGCAGGCAACCATCAGCTAGAGGTAAATTTTCCCATCCAGCTCTGATTCTGTCTGTCACTGTTTTCTACAGCAGCTTCACAAAGTACATTAACCTGTCCTGGTTGCTTCCTTCCATGCTAAATGTTTTACATTAGTCTTTCTTGATCCCTATAACATTTTAATGGCTGTGTAAACAGAGGGTTGCTATGTATTTTTTCATACCACACTGTTTTTTCCATCATAAACCATCTTTGTGTCATTGTTCCCTCTCACGCAATTTACTCACAACCTTCAACCCGACCTTTACTAGAATAACCAAAAAAAAGTAATTCCAGCTTGCAGTATCAATTTATTTCATACCAGAGTGAAGTGCAGAGTTACTGAGAAAGGAAAACTTAATATCCATTTTCTGAAGTCCTCTAGGCTTCAGTGTCTCATTTAATTTCACTGAGGAACAACAATGCACCATTAGTTGGTGCCCAAGAAAAAGGAGTCAGTTAAGAGATCAGTTTGCGTGTGTTGGAAGGTTAGAAAGAGTCTGCATGGGATCCAGGCAGACACTTAATTTCTTTACTTGAGTGGAATGTGGTTTCATGACATAATTATTTGTTTTGTGTAGTACAGAACATGCTCACAAGGAAAAATGACATGCTCACAAGGAAAAATATGGCAAATGACAACATTTTGGGAGGTGGCTCAATTGTTCTTCCATTTCTGTTTATTTACACTGGTATTATATTCTCATATTTAGTCCCACACATGCCCACATCAGGATCAGCAGGAATTCAGCATTCTGCATTGAAGGGAGCACTTTCTCTCCTTGCTTCTAAACCTGAGGATACTCCCTAGGCTTTCCTTCAGCAAAACTGGCCACAGCTGCCACTGCTGGCTAAGAAACCCAGACATATAGCAATTCTCAGATGCTAACAGTCAAATCAGTCTTCAGCTTACTGCATATAAACCAGTATGTCAAAACTGTTTGCAAATCTTAGTTGAATACCAAGAGGAGAAATAGCCATGGAACTTAGTTCAGGAGTTTTATATAGTTAGAAGAGGTTGTCAGGGATGTGATGCAACATGATGTGACAGAATAGATATCTGGCACACAATTTAGTTCCTATATTGTACAGAGGCAGCAGGAACAGGCTAGTCTTCTGCCCCATGATTTGTATTCTCCACCATTTTGATATCCATGCGTCCTCTTAGATCTGGTCTTGCATGTAAGAGGTGAAAAGGCCTTGGAGGGGGGATAAAATCTGATGCCATTAACATTTTAAAAGTAAGAATGTAAGAATGGTGCAACTCTGCTCTCAGACGTAGCTTTGCTGGGAGCGAAGAATCATAAACACGTTCATCACTGGGCCTGTGCTTTGCCATTTTCCAGGTGTCATTCACCAGTCCAAGTTGCTGCTAACAAACTATACCTCAGGACAGTAGCACTGAGAGCTGCTATTTCTGCGACTTTCCTTTTCATGGTGTGATTTCAGCTACTGCAGCTAGGACTGTAACCTTACCCAGGACAAGTGCAGGTGAAGAAGATAAGGCTCTGAATGTAACCTTTTCAAGCACAAGGAAAACAAATCCATACCAGAGTATTCTCCTGGGGAGTGTCATAGATTATATTAATGAACTGTGCCAGTTGCATGCAACATCAGAATAACTCTGATTTTCGTGCCATCTTCAGTGAAAATACAGGTTTTAGAGATATCTCAGCCAAAACCCACAAATTCCACTGTGACAGAGCCTTACTCTTCCTACACACAGCTGGGATCACACTTCTCATCAATCACCTGCAGCTTTTCAAAAATCAAATATTTAATGGACTGTATTTGGTTAAACATTACTTTTATCACCTCCAGTATTCTAGTCCAATACCTAATACTCATTTGTCCTTCTATGAAATCTGCAACTGCCTGGGAAACTTATTCTAAAATGCTGCCATGGAAACCACCCTGGAATCTGAATTTGTGCTGTCTGGCCTATGAGATTATGCCATTATACTCCTTGATTAGAGGGACAGAATTAGTTTATAGAAGGACATGACTTAAAATATCTTTCTGTGTTTTTGTCTTCAGTAATCACCTGTGAAAAAACTTAAAACATTATTATTACAGTCATTGTAATGTTTTATAGGTTGTGTTGAAATACCTATCTATAAATTATGTATTATAGCTGTCTTCATTTTGATGAAATTAATCTAGTATTGAAAAAAACCCAAGAACGTAAGCATTTTGTTCAAGAGGTATGTGCACCTTCCTGTAAAACAGAATTGAGTTTCCCACACCTACTTCTCAACACCCAAGTTCCCCGTCAATCCAATATGAAAGACCCAACAGTTTAATCTTGAAAATACTGAAACAAGGTGACAAACATTTAAAAAAAACACCCCTTTTTTTGTAGAAAAACATACTTTAATTGATCTGAGTTAATGAAGTTTTACACCAGCTAGACAATGCTGGTTTACTAGAGGACTGACCAAATATTTGTAAGAATGACACCTGCACCGTGTGTCCAGATGTGTGAATCTGGCAGACACTTCTACACTACCACCCAACACAGTTGTTGATGAGTTGTTTGTAACACAAATCCGTGAAATGAACTAGAAAAAATGAATGGTTTCAAAAGTACCCAACTGCAGGTCTAACAGTCTTGTCAATCATTTCCTGTTAACATGCTGGAGCTTAATTGTTTCAAACAAACTTTGGATTCATTTGCACAGCTTATAATAGCAAATAGTCTCTAGAAATCTGTAATAGTCACCTCATCAGAAATACTCCAAATGGCAGCAGCTCACAGGAGCTTAATTAAGGATCTGTTTATCTTCCCCAACAGTAACTAAATCGCCAGTTAGAAAGAGAAAAGCCTCTAGCTAAAACAGAATGCTGGCAATCACTAAAACCAGTGGGACCTCTGGAAGGCTACTTGGCAAAGCCAGGAACAAACTGCACTCAGAAAGACTGACCTGCTTGCAAGGAAGGGAAACAACAGAAAAGAACTGCTGTCGTTGGCTAAATGTGAGACTTCTGGGCTTGAACCCCAGGGACATGAAGGCCTGGATTCCCTCCTGCTCAGTAGAAAAAAGATGATGGTGGAGGAGAGCTCACAGGATTAGATTATCCCAGGATAAACAGCTGCGCTCTGGACTTTGTGTTACATGTTTTGGCTTTGTGCTCTTCTCATGCAACAAGTCTCTGAGCTAAACTGGGAAACTAATTGCAGAGAGTAGAAATACAATGATGCTAGACTTGGTACAGGTAGGCACTGATGAAAACCTTCAATACTAGGAGTGGATGGAATGATAAACGTAAGCAACGCACTGTGGGGTCAAATCCTAGTGCTACGATATCAATGAATTTGAAAATGAGAACATTCATCAGAAGTTGTCACTCAATAGGTCTCAGCTGCAATGATGCTAAAGTTATCTCGAATTTCTGTATGCATTTATTGTAATATCTTCTGTAAGTACTGAAGCAAATGTCCACTGGAACCTCTGCACTGCGCTGCTGCTCAGAAACACAGCAGGTCTGTTTAGGTGTACACCTACTGTATTAATTAAGTTTAGAATTTCTATGTACATCATTTGGGTCTTATTTCAGTTGGCCTCCGGCCAGGTATTCCTGCACCAGCTGTTTCCTTCTGATAACTTAAAACTAAAAGAAAAAACTGTGAACAACTGTAAAACCCTCAGGAAAAAAAAATAAAAATGTAATGGCAGCCAAAGAATAAGGCATTCTGGGATTATAACATTGTAATCATGTAACTCAGTAAAAATGAAGCAGGTGCATTAAGAGTGGGGTGAAGTGTGAGAGCTGCTGCTTAGTGCCTGTTACAGGGTCCACATGCTGTAAAGAAATCCAGTCTAGTTTAACAGTACTATTAAACTCATTTTTTTGAGGAAGAAACCAAAGCATCTGTTACGTTACAACTGAGGTATCAGTAACTGCCCGTATTGCAAAGATTGTTTCCCTGCAGGAAGCACTAACTTGCCTGCAGCCTCATGGTTCCAGTCACACGGATATCTAAAAAGAAAATATAAAAATACTCCGGGGAGAATAATTTAAGCAGTTGTGCATGGGCAGCTGCACACTCCAGTCTTGGTTTTATAACAAGAAAGACATTTTCTTCCAGCCATATATAAGAGAATACCACATCTTCTGGATGGCTCAGGAATAGAGGAGAGCACTAAAAAGTTACTTGCAACAGGAAATCAATCACTGGCCATGCTGTTCATGTCACTAAGAAAAAAATCAGGATTGTCAGAGGCTTAATCATACCTTGCAGGTACCTTATGCAGCTGGTTTGTGTCAGGGACAAACCAAGCAGCCATTAAAAAATAACAGTAGTTCCTCTCACATTGTTTTTCGTAACACTAACCCCAGCTCTGCAGTGTAGATGGAATCCTGCACCAGTCTGGGGTGCAAAACTAAGATTCCAGAGAAATTACCTGGTTTGTAATTGTGCATGTTTTCATCTTTGGACCAAAATGGCATCTTACATTTTGTCCACGTAACATGTTATAGATGTTGCTTTGATGTGCCAAAAGGGCGGGGGAAAAAAAAAAAAAAAAGTGCTTTGTGGCAATTTGGTTTTAAACTATAAGAAGAGGGGGAGAAGTCAGACCAAAGTTCTCCACATTTTAACAAATTTCACCATGCTTTGAAAAAACCTTAGCCACAGCTTTCTAGGATCAGCAAATCATATAGCACTGAGTTCAGAAGAATGCAGATGGAAGTAATTTTTATGTTACCAAGCAGGGGTCACCATCAGGCTGTAACTTAAGACACAAAGGAACAGGTTACTTGAGTTTCCAAAAAGTCAAGCTGGTAGAAGAGTTTTGACAGGACACATTAGTCTCCAACAAACACATTACTTCCTTCTTTTGACAGCTCATCTGTCCTGCAAGAAGTACTTAAACCAAGTCCAGAGTACAAACTGATTTTGCTAAGAAATATTTACAAAATTGTTCATTTTGAAACGATTACACTGGTGCTGTCTTTAGCTAAATCTATACTGGTATTTACTAATTATTAACAATACAGACTTTGGTAAATGAAAGATATTTCTATTACAAGAATGCCAAAAAGTAACATTTCCCCAGTGCAATGATAGTTTTTGGAGGGTTTTTCAGAAAGAAATTATTTTACAGAGCTGCAACTCTTCAGGAAAAATTTTCAATCAACTAAATACAGCCATTCCTTCTATGCATCGACTTCCCTCTCTCTGTATGTGACCCTCGGTATTTTGATGTGATTTTGAATGTTTCTTCTACTGCAAAATGGCAAAGCTGCTCAGAACTCCTGATTCAGCTTCCTTTGAAGTCAGAGACATCCTTCTTTTACCATTTTAGTGAGAGATGGATTCAGCTCATCATGGAAAAAAAAAAGTTGTGCTTTCTGCTTGCCTCCCATAGCTGGCACAGGAGAATGCATGGCAAGATGAGATTTCTGGGGTGTCTTTGCTGACAGATTTCAGTTTTAAAGGTGACTTTCAGAGGACTAGCTTTAATCCTAGTGGTCATCAATAACCGTCTAAATTGTGAAAAGTGACACTTTCTTTTTAATCCTGTATGGGACAGAGGAAAATGTACATCTCTAGTAAAAAGCGGGTTTTTTTTTTAAATGCAGAAATTTCAGAAAAGCTAGTGGTAGGTAGTCTGTATCTCTTTAGGCAGTGGCTGACGTTTTAAACAAATATATAACCATGCCATAATGTGATATGTGGTAGGAAAATATATGTTGTGGGTTTGAGGGAGAGAGAGGGTATATGCCATATGTTCAGCTGGAGGGAGTGGTAAGAAAAGAAATGGAAGCTTAATGTACAGGAGAAGGCATCCTTGTGTCTAATCCATTAGAGAAATTGCTCTAGAGTACTCCCATGATGTGAAATACATCATACTCTCAGGCTTAACAAGACCTAGGTTGATTGCCTGAGTAATATTGCTGGTAGCACAGAACTTTAATTTGTACGCCCAATGCTTTTAATTTGCCAGGAGCTTTATTTGAAGGACGCAATAAGCCTAAAAGGAACCTGCTGGGGATGAAGAGGAGAGAGACTGGAAATGTGGAGGGAGGGAACATGAAGCCTTTTCATTCTCTACTGAAGGCTTCTGTTTCCACTAAGACCCAGCTCTTTGCACTCAGGTGTAGACTTTCTCACATCGTTTGGGCACTTGTGTCTAGCTAGACATGCCAGGAAGAGTATAGGACCTCTGAAGAATGGGGGACGGGATTCCCAATCTGTTACTTAAGTGCCTAGATTAAGACACAGCCCTTTGAAATCTTTTTAGGAAAAATTGGCCAGAAATATGTTTGATGTTGCCAGAGCTCCTGAATAGAAAGAATGAGATTAATTCCATATGAATGTGCCTCACGCAGACACCTGCACAGGCACACGCAGAGAAAAAAATAATTTTTTGAAGTAACCGATTAAAGCTGTGCAATTAGCACAGCTGTTTGCCCCATATAGCAACACATGAAAAAATTACTGTAACCACACTGGAATCCACAATCCCAGAATCTTCCTCTAAAATTCTGGTTAAAATGTGTTGTAGATGAAGGTTTGCCCCAATCTGTCTAAATATGATTCAGTGACGACAGTCAGAAAATATTTAAGACAGAAGTGCAAGGCTGAAGTAGAAGGTAATATGCCAGTATTTAACAAACCTAGATGTCACTTAGAAATATCTGTATTTCCTAGAACTAAGAAGTACCGACATGGCAGTTTCTATGTTCAGCTTCTGTTGCTGTAGCTCTGTCGCCTCACCACACAGAAACTGCATTGAAGTTGAACATATAAAATATCAAAAAGTTCACTCTGTAAGGCATTCTAATCAAACCTAGGAGGTTCTTTCAATGGAAGTGTCTTTGATTTCTTACCTCATCATTTTTAGACAGACTATGCTGGCTTATAATAAAATCTGCAAGTGTCTTACAGACCTGAAGGAACCTAAAAATAGTACCTGATATGAGTGAGAGAGAAAAAATTTCTCTGAGGCTCTGAAGAGTCTGTAAACATGGTTATGAATCCAATTTTTACTCATATGCACTGTTTTCTTACACTTCATGCCTACCAAAGAGCTGTCCTTTGTTTCCAAGCCAGCATCATTTCTATAATCAAGAGCTCTGTATGATCTCTGCTTTTGTTTTTGCAGAATTCAGCTTTACGGAAGAGCTGTAAACTGAAGAGAAAAATTACAGATGTATCTTTTGCAAATATGAACACAACTTTCAAAATGCTAATAATTTTATTCTGAAATTTTAGATTACCCCCAACATAAATGGTTGAGGTGCCCACACGTAAAGTGGGATCAGTCTGGTTAGGTTCAATTAACTTTGAACCCTCAAAGGCAAAGTGATCCAGCAGACAATCATTTTCACTGAACATTTTCAGAGTTTTCAGCAACATCAAGCAGCTAAGGTCCTTTGTCTTAAGCAAGGAAGATTAATGAAATGGCACCTTTCAATCTGAAAGCACAGAGAGACAATCTGTGCTGTTAGCCTTGAACCTGCCAACATGTTTATACTGCTGTTTTATAGCCCTGGGATCTTATTCCTACTTCAACTTTCCAGTTACTGTTGCGACACAACTACATTACCATTAGCACCTCACAGGCTTACTTCACCATACTTGCTGCACTTCCAGCTGTATCATGAGATGCTGCTCCAAGGGACTAAAGACATTCCAAGCCTCTCTGAATGACTGCTCAGGGAAATGGCCAGTTTTGAGGGAAAGAGTCCCATTTTAAGACACAGGACAAACGCATATATTCTGCTTGCAAGGGTAAAGCAGTCAGAGTCAAGAGAGGTAGGCAGATAAAAAATTTTTAAAAAGCAAGCTCATATACAAGCATGTATGAATGAAGTATTGTGCAGAATATGATGCAAAGATGATAAATCATCTTCAAGGAGAAGCCTAAAAGTATTTGAAAATGTTTGGTTTGGACCTGCTGAAAACATTCTGACATTGACAAATGAATCTAAAGAAAAAGAAGTCAATATCAACCAACACAGTTAGAAACTTAATCTTTTTGAACATTACATTCTTCAAAGACTTTGAACACTGGTTTTAGTCGTTATTTTCCTAAATTCCCACATACTTAAGTTTTTTTTCAGTGCAAGAAATCCCACTGAAAAGGTAGACAAGTAGGTGTCTTAGTTTAAGATTAGTTTAAATGTGTGCTTAGCATTTTCAGTGATGAAACTCTTTTGAGGGGATTTTGAACATTTTTGCCTTTTAACAACTGTGTATCTTCCTCAGCCATTCCAGGCAGAAACATCTTGCTCCTATGGAAGAAACTAGCTGAACTTGACATCAAACAGATGGTTATTTCAACAGTAATCCCAATTAAAGACCACATGCAGTGACAAATATTGCGCAGAAGCAGAGTCAAAACACTATCTCAGAGCTCCCCTTCTGAATCAGAAATGGGACATAGGAAGTGGCCAAGGAGGGAGGGAAGGGTGGACAGAAGTACAGAAATAATAGAAAAGTTACTCACACAAAAGCTTTCTGTGTGAATCGGTGATGTTTGCATTCTCGTGCCAGAAGGGGTTTATCAAAGGGTAACATTCGCTCCTCGCTAACAGAGAAAGGAAAAAACAAGGAGAAAAAGTTACACTATAGTATCTTATTATAATATATCCTCGTGTGTGTGTGTGTGTGTGTGTGTGTGTGTGCGTGCATATAATTCATATAACATTATCTGCTTTTAAAACAGTCATTCCTAGGCAGGGAAGGGAAGGAAAGGAGGGAATTTTCAGCACTTCAGGCCATTTTCAGTGGCCAAGAGCTGCTCCCATGGGCCTGTCCACTGAAGTCAGGAGGGAAACAGCTGCTTATTCCAGTGAGTCTCAGGGTACAGCAAAGGGGAGAATTCCTCTAACCTGCTCCTTCTCCCCTGCCCCACTGCAAGTAACATCCTTTCTTGCCTATGATGAACTATCCTGACTCCTTATTTTTAACGGTGGAATCAAAACCATAAGTAATATATCTGGCACATGAATTAAACTAAAAGGGGAAAACCCTATTATATCCACAGAGGGTTTAATCCAGAACTGTGAAATACCAAGCCAGACCAAACGCAGCACAACTACTGGGTGAACCTGAGTCTTTAGTCACTTACCTGTAGTTAGTATGTAGTATGTGAGTATGTAGTAGTTAGTACGGGATTGAGTTGATTTTATTTGTATTCTTTATAGAAAATATACATTTCAAGATAATACTATTTCTATTGATATCATTTGTAGTAATATTACGTATGTATCTAAACTATATATTGTTTAATGTTATTTATAGTTATATTCTTTATGTTATTTATCATTCTTTATGTTATTATTTAGCATTTTGACGGCTTTAGCCCGGAACTTTCGCCCCTTAATTCCCCCTGAGTCAAATGAAAAGACATCTCTTTCCTTCTAAATAATTAACGTTTATTAAGTTATTTTGAGTTAAAAGCGAATGCAAAATGCGGTTCCAGGAGCGGACTGTTCGCCGTCCCCGCGCCCCCCCCCGC